AATTAAAAAAATATATATAAAACATTTTAACAAAATCAGATTATTAATGCGGAAATTTTTTTAATTTGAAGTTGTTATATCCTGCAGTTATAACAACGTTTTGTATTTTCGAAAAAAAAAATTTTTATTAGAGTAAATAAATTCTTATTTACTACATATGCTGAAAAAGTACGTAGGTGGACATCTCTTATGGGATAAAGAAATAAAACTCTGTAGCGTAGGTTGAATATTACAGTTTATAGAGAAAGATGAACTTAAAAAATATACTCTGAATCCATAATGTAGGCGCAATAAATCTCTAGGTTGCAGTGCAACATCTCCCAAACATAAGAATAGTAAATAATTATTTATAATAACTCATAGGTGTCTATTTTAATTATTAAATAAATTTTAAATAAATAGTAAATAAATGTTAAATAATTAGCAGATAAATAATAAATATTTTAAATAAATAGTAAACAAAAACATATACTAACAAATATTAAACAAATATTTTATTAGTATTCATTTAATATTTTATTAGTATTGATTTAATATTTTATTAGTATTGGTTAAAAATTTTATAAATATTTTAATAAATATTCAAAAAATCCTTAATAAATATTTAATAAATATTGAATAAATATTAAATAAATTTTTAATAAAGATTAAATAAATACTAAATTAGTATTTTTTTTTAAATATTTTATTAATAATTAAAATTAAATAAATATTTAATAAATGTTAAATAATTACTTAATAAATGTTAAATAAATATAAAATAATAATAAATATTAATAAATAAATAATAAAAATTAAATAAATATTTAATAAATATTAAATACCAATTAATCAATATTTAATAAATATTTAATAAATATTAAAGATTTTTAAACGAATATTTATAAAAATTAAATATTTTTAAACAAATATTAAATAATTACTTAATAAATATAAAACAAGTATGAAATAAATATTAAATAAATATTAAATAAAATTAAGAAATATTAAATAAATATTAAAGATATATTAAATAAATATTAAAATAATATTAAATGAATTTAAAAAATATTAAATTAATATATGAAGCCCCCAACACCGGCATGACCAATCTCTTTAGTTTTCATAGTTAAATTAATAATTTTTGGTTATATTATTGATTTATTTATTTAAATATTAATTTTTTTAATAAAAAACTATATGAAAATGACGAAATGGATTTTATCACAAATGAAATTACCTGGTACGAAATTACAATTCGATGTGGGCAGTTCTGAGCCGTGCGTTTCTCATGTGTCTTGACAAATTAAGTTAAAATGGCATTGTGGCGACATACGAGATATTCAGGCGCGTGCAAGTATCGAATTCGCATGTGATTGCAATATTACTTATACATGTCCAAAGATATTCAGATGCATAATAAAATATATCAAAAGCTGTCTTTGCTAATAATTGATTTTATTGCCAATTAATTATTGAAAAGTTTGGTATGTTTAATTTTATTGGCGTTGAATTAAATGCTCTTAATGCAGGCCCGTTGCCAATTGCCAATTGCCAGTTGCTGTTAAGTTATTTGCAACTCGCCGTTGCCAACTTGACAGCCTTTTACAATTGGTAGGAGTAAAATCATGTTGTTTGTCCGCCTTATTGTTACATTTGTATAACAGTAAAATTTATATTATATTCGTTTTGAAGTTAATTTTTATTCTTACTATCAAAATTGCATTATATGTAAGGTACTTCGAAATCTGCAATGTGTACAAGATATCTGCACATGGGCACTTGCTACATGTGCTTGGATTATTTATTAACATTCCTCGAAATCTGTAGTTGATAAAAATAAATAATGAAAAATGAATGATAAAATATGTTGCCAACAATAAACTCAGCAACAACAGCAATAGCAGCAACAAAAGCCACAACAATAACCAAAACAACTTAACAATAATGACAGCAATAAAAATAATGAATTTTATTGTTGTCGTGCTCATATATAAAGGCTTTGCATTTCAATTGTGTTGTATGCAAAATATTGCATGCATACAATAAATTGTTGCTGCTGATATGATTTAGTGACGTACAACAATGCAGCGGAATGCTTAATGCAATATTCGAACGCAATTGCAATGCAATTGCAAATCTATCAGTTGCACTTTATGCAAAGATTATGCCAAAGAAATTCTAATTTGCGCAAAGCAAATATCTCGTTTTTTCTTGCTCGAATCTGTCAGTTATTAATGTTTGGATAAATTTAATAAAGTATGCAAAAATGTTTATAAACATTTGTTTTTATGCACAAGTTTGTTAACAAATATATTTTTGTTACTAAAAAAATATATTTTAATTTTTTTGCATTTTTTAAATAGCGTATGTATATTAATTTTTTTCACCATACGAGGAATGTATGCTAAATACTTTTTAAATAATTATGTATATACATATATTTATACTCGAGACAGTAGGGTATAAGTTCAACCTTGGTACCTTCAGTTACAAAAAATTATTTAAGAATAATTAAATATAAGAAATAATTCCAAGACCACTGATGATGGGTTTTAGACAATACTTGAAACAGCTGTATGGTCAGTCAAAAATTCAGCTAATTAAAAGTAATAAACAAGTTTTTGAAATCACTACTTTTTAAAATCTTCTCTATTAGAAATAGTTTATATTAGGAAAACCAGAAACTCTTCATTAAAATTTCAATTTCTTTCAATTTCTTAATACTCTAGCATCGAGGAACTATATTACTCTTGTCTGGATACTGGACCATGAAGGGCATAAGGGCAATGAAATAGCAGACTCATTAGCAAAGAAGGGTGCTATACTCCTTTCATTGATCCAGAAACTTTTGACAGGTAACAAATAGCTTCACAAGTAACTTATTATGTGAACGAGAAAAACAAAATCTACTTGATGACTGAAGAGCCCAAACAAGCATGCGGCAGTCAAGAAAATTCATTGATCCTAAACACATCTATACTGAACTTCTTACATTACACTGTAGACTCAATTACCACATGAAGAACATAGATGCGGTAGAAAGTAAATCCTGTTAACCCTGCCATGAGGAGAAGGAAACATCAGAACATATTCTACCGAAAAGTCAAGCATTCAAATTTTGACTGTAATTTTGACTCAAATTTTGACTGTAATGGAATAAAATATTCACCATTCAGCTTCAGTTTCAAATTTAACTTCATTTTAAATAATTAACTATGCTTTCCACTATATTTTTTTTTAGCTGTATAATTATAGTATCATAATTATTTGATTGTTTTTAGAATTTTTTATTATTTTATCTAAATTACCAAAACTACACTTTACGACAAAAACTATTAAATTCTATAACAATATTAAAGCAATTAAACTCAGCTAACACCCCTCGTATGTGTACTCATATAAAAGGTTTTTTTTAAATATACAGGTATTATAATATATATTAAAGCAATTAACTAAGTTATTAACAATAAGTGACAATATTAAAGCCCACTCCATTTGTATCTCGCAGTGCCACAATTATCTGAGCATGAAATTACTTTAATATACATTTTTTCTTAATAAATGGGCGGAGCAACGCAAAGTGCTTTTCAGAAAAACGTCTTTTTTTTTTGTTTTAATGTACAGTCCTATTGGCATTAATACGGAAAATAAAGGTGGAGCTGCGTTTGCAACTTTTAATTATTCGCCGTCGAAACAAAGTTAATAGGTTTTGCATTTGATTGCAGTAGAAGAAGTCGTCTTTATGAATGTCAATAATAAAGTAGTTTTTTATTTTCTTATTTAAGTACCTAAAATCAATTACTTTATTGGTATATTGTTCTATATTCTTAAGCTGTCAACGACAATTATTGCCTGCATTCCTTTTATATCTGAAATATTTGAAAGATTATGTTCTTTTTTGTTTTTATACATTAAAGCCTGTTTTAAAAATTGAGGTCTTTTTTCATTAACTTCATTAAGTGATTAAGTAATTAATAAATTTATAGTCCCTCGAATAAAGTGTGAGTGGTTATTTAATAAAGATCTAGTTCAAATCTAGAATCTAGTACACATATAACTTTATAAATATGCTCTATTACTATAAAAATGATGAAAATGCAGCAAAAATGAAAATGCTCTGAACGATCATCAAATTTTTACCGGAAGTAGAGTGCTAAATAGCATTCCTGAAATTTTGATATTGAAGATGCATTTTGCCCTGCTCAGCCTGTCACTACAATGGACCTCAAAGTTTTGCAACTGGTGAAGCAAAACTGACACACAAGTTGTCAAACGATAGTGGATCGACTAAACATCAATCGCTTGACAGTTTGGAATTACCATATTTAAAAAGAGTGCACTACGCAACATCGCATAAATTAACTTAAATAAATCGATTAAACGAATTACTATCAGTGTAATGCGCGAAAGCGATTATGATCAAAAGTCGCTAACCCTCTACAAACGCCTCCGAGGCTTGTGAAAAACGGTTATGTTGAGTGTTTTGTGCGATTAAAAAGAAAATGTCCATTATGACCTGCTCTAGTCTGGTGCAACAGTTAATTTGTCCACTTGAACCACGCAATCAAGTAAAACCAACCAGAATTATTCTTATTCTTCTAGCATGTCATGATAGAAAATGTCAAACTTTGGAACAGGAATGTTAAAATTTATTCGTACCTATTGCCTTCGCTCAAGGCTTCTATTGTCTACAATTATATACTAGCTCATGCATTTGGAACCAGTTTTACTTCCACAACTAAAATCAGGATAAAGATTATGATCAAATCTTTCCTAGTTCTTATATTTTACTTGCCCTATCTTATAACATTGAAATGTTTTTGTCACTTCAACTTCTTTATTTTATATTTTGCCTTGATATGATAGATGTTCACCATTTAGGACTATAGATGTTTACCACTACTAAGCGAACTTAGTGATAACGACATTTTCCATATCTAACATAAGTAACATAATAATTAAGTAAATGACATTGGAATTTTTTTTTTTTGTTGTTTGTTCGTATTGGTTCTGATAATATTTATTTATCTAGGGCTATTTAAAATAATGTACAAGTCCAAAAATAAAGAAATTCAACATATAATAAAAAAATCTGGCAGGTGAAAGTGCCATTGGAACGGTTTAAATGTATAACTACGCCACTGCACTGTAGTTTTGTGAATGCTGGAACTGTATTCTGGATTTGACTCTGGATTTGCGAGCCACCTCCGTTGATTTGTCTCCGACAGTCAGATTCAGTCTAAGTTTGACTTTGTGTGCCACAACATGGTATTCAATCGCATATTGATCTTGAGCAATTGATTTTCACAACAAAGTCATTGACGAATGCAGCAACAGTTAGCGCAGTGCTTGAGACTGCAATAATGCTAAAGGCGGCGACAATTAATGGTGCCAGGCGCTATGTCAATTGTTGTAAAGCCATATTGTAAGCAATAATCTAGAAAATCATATGTTGAATGCAGGTCTTCATTTTAAATTTCTTCCAAACCTTGGATAAGAGTATGGGCTGTAGCGATACATCATACATTTGTGTTACTTTATAAGTATATTGGCATCATTGTTATAAGTCCGAAAGCCAGTGCAAGTGCATTCAGATTTCTAAAATAATAATATTTTATTAGCTGCACTTTGATTTGTATAATTATGTTACCAATTTCCGACAATATTGGTAAGTATTTATGGTAACATGCTGCTAAGACAGAGACGTCAACATCAAAGAGCAATTTTTGCAAGTTAACATATACCGTACCGGCAACGGTGCTATATTGCCAGTATACCAGTATGCTCCTAGTCTTCTGTCTGCAATTTTTACCTTAATACAGCTTTTCGGTGGAATGCGTACTTTATAAAACAAATGAAAAAACAAATTAAAATTTCGACTACAATGATTGAAATTTATTATAGCATCAATACCTTCATTGCCAATCAGACCCAGTATTTGATTAACTGTTCTTCCATTTAGAAAGCCAAAAATATAGGGATACACACTATTTACATCCTATCAAATAATGTCTATAATGATGCGGTTACTCTGACAATAAAAGTTAATATTTTAATTTAAAATACAAATATGCAATAGGAAACATACTTACATATATTCTGCAAACAACCACAACATATGACGTACTTGACTATTGCTTGCAAAACGGTTTACTATTCACTCCTTATATAAAAATCGCTAAGGTGTATCTGCTTTCATAACTCGAGAACTCACTTCAAATTGTACAGGAATTAAAATTCAATCACCTTCGAAACTCGCAAGAAATCATTATGTAAAAGAAATGTGTTATTCCATTTTTATTGTTTCCGTTACTTTTTGATATCCATTATTCCCTCTTAACATCCACAGTAATACCCACATGGAGAACAGCAACCGTATGATGTATAACAGGATGGATAACAAGGTGAACAATATGATATAGAACAAGGTGAACAATATGGGCTAGGATAACCGCAAGGATAGCCACATGGATAAGAGCAAGAATAACAGCTAGGATAGCAACCCATCTTTTTGCTTAACTTTGTAAAAATTTGTTAAAAGCGATATCGAAGATGGTACCACGAAGGAGCTGCTGCGAGTGTTCCGTGGAATCTTTACTTCTTCAATAATAAAGAATTTTTACTTCGTTTTCGCAAATCGTTTATTTTTAATCAAACTACTTACCTTTTTGTAAGGAGTCGCCCTTTTAGCTTTGAATTGCAGCCTCAAGCAAAAGTGCGAAAATATTTATAATTTTCACATTTAAATTATATGCATTTTAATAATTTTGAAGCCTTCTGGATAAATTTGAGGCGGCAACGAAACAAAAATTTATTCAATTTAGGCCTAAACAAAATAATTTTGTGAACGAATACGACACAAACTTTTCAAACCGAAATTTTTTATAAAATTTTTTTCTGAATCAATTTGGAATATGCTTTTTTATTTCATATTTGAAAAAAGCAAAGGTAACTTTAATAAATTTATTATACACAAATTTTACAAGTTATATATATATATGGTGGGACGTTGGGACAGCGCACTGTCAAACAAGTGGCCCCACTGAGGTGAAGGATTAGTCGAAGTAGACCCCGAAACGACTTGGGTCCTTTTTCGTCCTTCGATTCTCGGATGTTGTTATTGAGTTAAAGTTGGAGTGGCTTCCGTTCGCATAACTACATCTTTTGTTAATGCAAGCAGTTAATTTAGCTTGAGGCTTCCTACCAAGTCGTCACCAACCCAATGGTGTCCCAAGACAGTCTTCCTCCTACTTGCCAGTGCTGGACATTGGCACAATATATGCACCGCTGTCTCCTTTTCTTCTAGACATAGACTGCAAATGTCTTCCTCAGCAAGAGTTATCTTTTTGAGGTGATACTTGAAGTTGCCATGTTCAGTAATTAGTGAAGTCAGGCAGCTTAGGGTGCTCCGCGAATAGCTAAGCACCTTTATCGCTTCTCTGGCCCACGGTTTTTGTAACATAAGTTTGGTCTGTCTACAAGTGCTCAACTCTCTCCATCTATTAACAGAAAGTGAGGTTATCCACTTATAGACATAGGCTGCCGTCATGCTGTATCGCAATGGTATTCTGGGCTCCGGGCCACAGAAATTATGGCTTGATCCTTGCTTTGCAAGTTTATCTGCCTTCTCGTTTTACTCAATACCGATGTGTCCTTTAACCCACAAGTTACAAGTTAATAAATTATTTAATATTATTTTGTAAAAAGAAATTTATTATAGGAAAAATCGTTACTAGGAAAAACACAGCCGGTGACCATTTGGCGATAAACTCAACAATCTCCATATATAGAGTAAACTTCTATATACGAGTATATAGTTATCACTGAAAATTGGTGGGCAGTACAGTTTTTGAGGCGATGCTACTGACACAATCCGTAAATCAAAATCGAGTTTGTAGAATGCAACAACTTTCAGAAGATTCAAAAATACTGATCTTCAGAGACTAACAAAGTTTTTACCAAATTTTATACAAAGACTTAGGTGTTAGCCACCGTTAAAATTAATTAAAAATTATAGCCAACTTAGGTTTGGTTCGGAATGCGCGTGCTGCCAATTGTCAGCACTTCCACTCGGAGGCATACTCGGAGCCAACTTAACCCAGTATACTAATTAGAGATCTTTAAGATATTGGCAAAGTGTATCGAATTAGGGGAACGATTATGTCCAAAAGTGAACCACTGTAAAATATTTAAAAGTGTTACTTTCTATGTTGGCACCAAAGCTATCTACATATTCACATCAAATATATGAATTTTTAAATATATTCATTGTAAAAAATACATTTTTGCTAAAATCGAAAATTACTACAAGAATCTCTCTGCTATAAGTATGAAAAGGATTATATATAGACATCAATTATCTCACATATATTATATTCCATTTCTTTAGAATGAGCTGATAAATCTTTTTAAGTCTTGTAATCATAATGTTTTTTTAAAGCTAACCTATGAAGATCCTCATGAGACAAGATAACAATGCATTCGAAAAGTTGCTTTCTAATCACTTTAGATAAGGTGGAAAAATGATTACTAAAGAAAATGTAAACTCCTCAGTGATATTTTAAAAGTAACTACAACTTTTTAATTTTAAAAGTCAAAAAATAAAAATATATTTAATGTTAATTTTTATTGTCGAAAGTGACACTTATTATGACAAAAATAAACTATTTAAAAGTTAGAAGAATTTGAATAGAAACGAATAGACAACAACAAAAATTTTAGTTAATTTATTGAAGTTTGGCTGACCATACAACACGAACTATCAATGCTCAAGTTCCAGGTTCTTTGTTAGTATATATGATATTCTAATTACAAATATATTTAATATATATTAAAAGTTTCAAATATTTTATTTCCGCTTTAGTATTAAATATATTTTCTTGTGTTCAAATACAAAATATATATATGAGTAGAAAATTGCAATTTTTATAAAAAAGACCTGCAATTCCTATTAAATAAAAGTACGTTGTTTACTACGTTGCCATCTCGGCTTAAAATAATTTCCAGTTGGGAAGAGTCAGTAACCAATAAATTCGTGAGATATATTCACACAATTGGACAATCACTAAAATTCATTATTGCATTTATGTGCGGCATAAATGTGTCAATGTGAAGGACAAAGGATAAACCAGATGTGTGGTTGACCAACAGTTAAGCTGAGTTAAGTACTGCAACGCTGAACTGCGCTCCATTTCAGGTTTTCAGTATCGAAATCCATGTGAAAATACATATTTCAGCAGCATTTTTGCATTGTTACTCCAACACTGACTAGCGATGCCATACCATATATGCTGAGTTGTCGTTGATTTGTTTGTTTGTTGCTGTTGTTGTTGTTGTTGTGGTTGTTGTTGTTGCTGTTGCTGTTACCATTTAATATGTTGTCCTTTATTTTGTTGTTGATTGTATTTGTTATTTTTATTGTTATTTTCGACCAAAAAGCAATCACATCAGATAAAATAAAGTCCTGGGGAACGCTTTTTCATGTGCCATGCAACAGGAAATATGTTGGTCTAGACGAGTTGCAACTACACAATTCATAATAAAACTGTGCTATTAAAACAACACCTGCTATTTACATATTCACACTCTTTATTCGTACATCCATACACCAATTCTCCATATACGAGTATAGATACTTTTATGTATCCACATACATAAAGGCAACAATTAGCAGATGTTGAGATTTCATTCCAATTTGAGAAGAATTTATTGCGTATGGTCATGGTTTTAGGGATTTCCTTTTAAGTTTCTGCAAAAGAAAAAACATTACTAAATATTTACATATTTTTTGATGAAAATTTTTAATTGCTTCAAAGCTTAGCTTTTGTGCTATTTATGCTTGGACAAAAAGGGTTTAAATTTTAAATACTTAATTAGTGTACGCAGAGGAAGGTCACGGTCAAAGTTTTGCATTGAAATCCAACCAACGCAGCGGCTGCTGTATTCACACTTTTCTCTAGGAAAACTGGGTCATTATATAAAAAAGGGTTAAAATCTTAATGAGTTTCCAACAAGTTGGCTGCTGTCGTTTTAATTAAAAGCGCGTTGACCTTTTTCCTAATGGGTTACCATAGTCACGCATAGCTATAAGTTTTTAGAGTATGAGCACGGAGACGACGTAGAAACACAAGAAAATGTCTGGCACTAATTAATTATAAAGTTTGTGAAACTTGCTTAAGCGTTTTCATTTCCTGCAAAAATAGGGAAAATGTACTAAATTTGATAAAAACAAAATATTACTATATAAAATTTTTCTGTCCTATGTCTAGAAATCTATTTTGAATAGAAAAAGGATTAATAATAATGCTTAAATTTGAAAAAACATCAGTTATAATAGTTAAGTAAATTTATACAGCTGTGATTTATGCTTACTTCTAAAAATAGTACGATACATATAAAACATATAATTGTCAAATTTGAGCGGTGGACTCATGAATAACACATTAATCCAATAAATATTTCATTTCTATCATGAAATACATATTATATATGAAATATATAAACATCAGTATAATAGTTAAGTAAATTTATACAGCTGTGATTTATGCTTACTTCCAAAAATAAGTACAATTGTTATTTATGAATAAAAAAATACAAATTGGTAAAACACTATGTCTATCTCTTTCAAACACATAATTGTCAATTTCAATTATATGTTTGAAGGACTACTGATGACAGATATTTGGCAGCTATATGATCAGACTAAAAATTCGCTTGATTGAAAAGTTAAATTTATGAGTGTAATATGTTACTAATATGTTCCGCTCTTATGAAGAATTCGAAAAACTTCAAAACATCGACAATATTCTAATATAGTATTAAACTATCTAAAATAAATATAAAGAACATCTAACTACTCGAAGGTGAGAGAATACCACTAAATATGTAATGGATACTAACAGTACGTATTTTTAAATCAGATATGAGATACAGATAGTGATATATGATATAGGTATATATCAGATAAATTGTTTCACTGATTTTTTAGACTAATATTTTGTGAGTCATTAAGTTAACCTAACAACCTCATGTCAGTAAAATAACCCTTGTAGTGAACCTTTACTGATAGGAGCTCTGAACAGCATAAGTTTCTGATGCGTTTCGGTTCAGTACTTTAATACTCTGAACCATTGATTTGGTTCAGAAAATAGAATTAAACGTCTTTATTATTATTATTTTTTCAATTTTTGGCAATTTATTTGTTTATTTGTCATATTTTAATATGAAAAGAATTTAATTATAATTTATAATTAATATATATTCTTTACATGTCTAACATTTTCTTTTCTCTGTTTTTAAACGGTGAGTTAATTCCGGTTCAAAACCAGTAGAGTTCACAAATTGATTTACAGCTGTGATAACAAATCCTACGACATGATCATATTACAACTCTTAAGGAACCACAAGTTGATTAATCATTAATCAGTTAATGAAATGAATTAACTATAATCCAGTCTCTATGATAGAGTTCAAACCTATTATTGCAGGATGCATCAAAATTATTACAAAGATAATTATGTATTATCCAAAATATTTAAATACATATGCACCCACTAAGGAGTCTGAAAATGCAAAAAACAAATTTGATGATAAGCTGGCATTTTGAATTTGGACTTAGACGATTAGGGACTGAAACATAAGTAGCTGCATACTATAAAGTATTATGTATTT